CAGAAAGAATGGAATCGTATTGAGGAATTCTTTATTCTCAATTCTACTTCTTATTAGTCGAAAGTATTTTAAGGATGTAAACACACACATCACACATAGATATGTGTGTAGAGTAACGGAGCTAATTATGGAATACCTCCTTTCAAATCAATACACATTGCTAAAATATAAATGCATATTTAAATTTTCTCATTGAAAAAACATTGAGAGATATATTACCTAAAGTCTAATAAAAAAAATTTAATGCAACTGGAAAACTAATAGAAGAGTAAAAAGTGAGAGAATATAAATATCAAAAGGTTGAAAAAATGGGAGATTATATAGGTCAACAAGAAAACTCAAGAACTGTTAATAAACAACGTAATCAATAAAATGTAACCTTTTTCATGTTTGAAAGAGCATTTATAATCACTGCACAAATTATTTAGTACATTAGAAAAATTGTAATTATATATTAAAAAGTATCACGTATTCACTGTACGTAAAACAAATACAATAAACAATAATAATAATAATAATAAGTATAATAAACAGAAGAATAGAAACTAAATGGAGTGAATATAATTAGTCCGTTCTTTTCAGATACACTGCTAAAGTGGTGTAATAAGTTAGAGTGAGAAAAAATATACTTGTCTCATTTTAACTTATTGCACCAGTTCAGCTGAAAGAAACAGACTAATAAAGTAACAGAACGAAGCAGAAGAAAATTTTTCTTATTTTTTATCCATATTTTTTAAGTTAATGGTTACTTACATTTACAAGTCCATATTATCAGTACATCCCATCCCTTATCAAGAATTATTATTTCTCTATTAAAAGAGCCTTTTGAGAAAATGAATTGGAATGTCTACGAAATGTCGAAAAAAAATTCACGAAAGACACGGTACCAATCTGGAAGCCAGACTATGTATACACATCTTGTATAACAAATAAAAGAGGAAAAGTAGATCACTTTTGAGCCACTAATGGAAGCTAAACTAATAATTGAAAACAGTTTCTGGAATCTTCTAGAAACAGGAAATAATAATTATTTGTTTATCAGACTCAGTTGATGAGAATCAGGATTTATTATCGATTGTCGAAGTAGTCACTATATATTGTTTAAGCTTTGTATCTTTGATATGTCTTTAAAGTAGAATCAATTATATATTTATATGTTGATAATAAATTTAGGGAATTTGATTCTTTTTTTATTTATATGATATATATGTATATATTGTAGAGATGTAGAAGTAATTATGTTAAAAATTGTTGCACTTACTAATAATATTTTCTTCTATCTTTCAAAGTATGTCAAGCAAAAAGTTTGTTAAGAGTTATATCACTCTAGTGTCCGAAAATTAACCGCATTTTTGGGATTTTTTTGTGGGTAAACAAAAAAATAAATCGAAAATCTGTTTAGAAGGCTTTATTGTACATATTTAATATTTATAAAGTGTATATTCAAATTTTATGTTAATTTTTATGTTCAAATTTTTATGTTAATATATATCAAATTTTTCAAATTTGATATATATCAATATATATCAAATTTTTATGTTAATATATATTATAAAATGGCGGCGTTAGTACGTTGTCAACATAAGCGTGTTTTTCGGAATGGCGCAGTGTGCCAAAAAGCACATTTGGTGGACAAATTTCTGCCTACATCACAAATCTGCATTTATTTTGATGAAACTTTTTTTTAAAATACTCGTGAAAAAAGTAAACATAACTCCAAAAAATAACCCTAAACTCCATTACCTGTAAACTCCATTACTTCTAATTCGATTACCTCAAACTTCATAACACCATGATCCGAAACTCCATCATTCCACATCTTATAGTCCCATAACTCCTGAACCTATATTACCCAATAACCCCATGACCCTAAATTTCATAACTACAATTTCCATAACCGCATGATCCTAAGCCCCACATTCGTAACCCCTATAACCCTATAACCCTAAACTCCATAACTATAAACCCTTAACTTCATAACGCGATAACGCCTGGAATTCATAAACTCGGAACTTCAAACCATAACCAGGTTTTCAGATTATGGAGTTCAGGGATGTAAGGCTTAAGGTCACGGGGTTATAGAGTTTAGAGTTATGGGGTTTTTAACTCGTGAGTAATCAGGTTTAGGAGTTATGGGACTATAAGGTTTGGAGTGGTGGAGTTTTGGACTATGGTGTTATGAGTTTGAGGTAATCGAATTAAGAGTAATCGAAACAGATAACGGAGTTTAGGGTTATTTTTTGGGGTTATGTTTACTTTTTTCAAATTTTTTACAGTGAGACATTATAGTAGAACTATTCACGAGTATTTTAAAAAAAAGTTTCATCAAAATCGATACAGATTTGTGATGTAGCCAGAATTTTGTCCACCAAATGTGCTTTTCGGCACACTGTGCGGCGCTTTGGGGCTTGCAGCATAAATGTCGCAAATGTTGATCTAGAACAAAAAGCCAAAATTTTTTGTCATCTACATGCTAATAGTTGGAGAAGAGGGATTTTTAATATATTGAAAATTACACATTTTAGAAACAATTTTCGGCAAAATTTTTAGGGGACAAAATGAAACTTTTCTTCAAATGCATGCCATTTCTATAAAAATAAATATTTTTAAAATCCGGAGTAAGTTCCGCTCATGTTGACAAGGCTCTAGCGCCGCTATTTTATAATATATGTTAACATATAAATTTGAATATACATTTTAAAACGTGTACTATAAAGCCCTCTAAATGGATTTTCGATTTATTTCTTTGTTTGCCCACAAAAAATTCTTCAAGAATACGCTTAATTTTCAAACGCAAGAGTAGTGTAACTCCTTAAGTAAGAACTGAAAAATAGCAAGGTTTTCTTTTTGGAATCCTCATCATGTACAACATATAAATCTTGTTTAAATAAAAAAACAAACTTCTTTGCATTTACTATTTACCTCTCGAGATATAAATATGCAATTTATTTTATTTTAAAGATAATAAGAATAGGATACTTAAAAAACACTTTAGATGATTATTGAACAATCAATATTAAATCCCGATTTTCATAACTTTCTCCGGACTTAATGGACATTGTTACTTTTTTCTCAGAAGATCTCAAAAACAGTTTCAATGATTAATTAAACTTCCGTCATGGATAAAAAAATGGCCTCTTTTTAACATCCTCTTTTTAACATCATATTTTTAATATATTTTTTTCTATTAAAAAATTTAGAAATAGTATTTAAATGAAAGATTGTTACAACTATATTAATTAATAAAACTATGTTGAAAGTGTACATTGAATATAAACATTAATAAACTTATCTTAAATAAACTTTAGAACATTTTGATTGACACAACGTTTAATTTTCAAGTGTAACAAAAGCAAAAAATTATTTATATCTTTACATACATTTTTACTTGGTGCGCAAGAAATTTCAGCGTAACATATGATTAGTCTTATAACAAATGCAACAATTTTCAGCAATTATTAGCCGAATGCAGTGCTTTATAGGTAAAATAAGTTTCTGCTCCATATTACCTGTTTATTCCAAAACCGATTGCTGTACCACTCTTGAGAACAAAATTATGTCGGTATGACAAAAAGATAATTTGTGGCGCTAATTCGTAAATCTACGCACTGACATTTCTTCAAAATTAATTACGACTTAACCACTTTGTACGGTGACACAAAATGGTCGCTTTATCTTACCCATTATCTTAATTTACTTAGTGAAGCGTCCCGCAATCTCTTCTCACTAGTGACTCTTTTACGATGAATTTTTCCGCAGTCCTTAATGATGTAAATGAATGACATCAAAGTGGAATTATACAGAATATGCACGTCTCATTTAAACAAATTGACGTAACATTAATCATATAACAACGTATATTAATATAATTGAAGCTTTCGAGATCTTATAAAAACAAAAAGTAATAATGTCCATCAAGTCCGGGGAAAGTTATAAAAATCAGAACTTAATATTGATTGTTCAAATACTCAAATAAAGTGTTTTTTAAGTTTTCTACTCTTGATATCTTTAAAATAAAGTCAATTGCATATTTATATCTCAAGAGATAAGAGAGTAGTAAATGCAAAGAAGTTTGTTTTCTTTATTTACACTATTTACTAGATTTCTATTTACATTTTATCAAAGCGCGCACGAAGCGGGACGAAAGTGCGGTTACAATTTCGTCATCAAAATTATACACGTGCAGTGTGTTTGGGGAATGGTTTGAATAAACTCCAACTAGTTCTCCATTGTGCTATTAATTGAAATTTAAACCGTGCACGATTGTCGGTCTATTCTAAATCAGTCAGTCGTGTCCAATTGTTGTGCGTAGCGCTGTAAACACGATGAAGCGAATTAAATGCGTCATTTGCGTACGATTCCAAATAACATCGACAAAACATCATCATATCGTAATATGACATATTAGATAGGCGTTAATTCTTTTTGCTCCTTTTAGCAGAAATTGCTCCTTTTAGGAAGAAATTAGTTCAAAGAAATCGCTCTCTACTTGAAGAGAAGAGCCAGAGAACGCGTAAGAATACCTTATGCTGCAGTTTGAAACTTTTTAAATGACGTTTTCCGATATTCATGGCACGTAGAGATTGCATTTCATTATATCACCAGGTCTCGCGCTCTACATCTACGTTTAGCTCTTTTATTTCTTTTTTCCTTTTCGTCGAATCGGCCAATATCCAGGTCGTGAAGATAAATGAATTGCAGGTCGTTCAGGTACATCAGAGTCTCGCATATTGAGACGCGGGAACGCGGTCGCTGTCGTATCGCGACCGGCCAAGTCGTGCCAAGCTGACAGAAGTCGTTGCCGTTCGCTAATCTCACGAAGGTCTTATAAGTATTCCTTCGCGAAGTTATAGCCTCACCGGCTCCGCCGTGCCGGAGCAAAGCGGATTGGGAGCTGAAGGGTGTGCAGCTCGTTGGAGGGCGGCTCGCGCAAGGGAAGCGCGACTAGGTGGTATCTAGGCGGCGCAGCCGCGACCGGAAAATCGATACTTATCGTGTGCCGGCGAACGGCGGGCCGCCTTCCAGTACGCGGCCCGTGTGCACGAGGTAAACACGGCTCTAATCGGCAATCGGAATGGAATGACGCGTGAGAAGTGATCAGCCGAGTCCAGTTCCGATTGTCGCGCAGCAGTATGGTACGTCCGAGCGAAAGAGTCCATGACAGTCCGTGACGACAGGGACGATGACGAAGGACGACGACGACGACAACGACGACGACGACAACGACGACGTTGACGACGACAACAATGACGACAATGACAACGGCGACGACGGAAACAACGGAACGAATATGACGCGTGGGTGTTGACGATGGCTCCGACAGTGATGCGGAGGCTCAGAGAGTCGCGGCGGTCACAGAGTGCACACGGAATATCTGCGAATCTGTCAGCACTTGCGACGTTGATGGCAAGCGGTGTGATGTCCGCTTGACCGTCCGTCCATTGCATTTCATCTCTGTTAAATTACACGCGCTTTTTTCTGTCTTATGTGCAGTACGGTTTTGTGAATTACGCCCTCGAGCTCCTGGTCGTGAAGACCTTTGGTAGCGAGACGTGGGAAGCAATAAAGTAGGTAAAAATAGGTGACCTGTCTTTCTTGTGTCTTACATGCTTTCCTCTTGCTCGCACATACACAAACACATATATGCATATACACACACACACTCTCACATAAACACACACATACATACACATACGCGTGCGCATCCACGCACGTATGCACATAAGCAGCATACGCACAAACACACACACACATACGTATACACACGTTTTCCTCTTCTTCTCGTACTTCTACGCGACTCTCACGCGTGATCCCTACGGCGTTTTTCTGTAACTGTAGAATGAGTAACGAGGTGTTGACAAGTCAGTTAAAGAAGATATATTCTATGTCGAGTGATGTTTCATAAATCTTACCGTCATGTACGTGTATGCGCACGCGACGCGACCATTGTAAATATTATTTGTTCACGTTATGTATTTGTACGTGTATATCGAGATTGTTATACGAGCTGTACGCGAGTTCTCCCCCCTAAGCATTTATTAAACTTTCATATAACACGTCTATGTGGCATTTTAATTTGGCACATAAGGGTTGTTTTTGTTCTCGCTTATTTACGTTCCGTAAAAATGCTAATAAAAATTTATGAAGTGTTTTATGAATTTATGAATTTATTTTTAAAAGACCAATAAATCCGTAGAATAAAATCATGTAAAAAAATAATCGCAAATGTTTACTTAAATATTTTATTGCAATTATAAAGAGAACTGTAATGAAAACATGTGTTTGTACAGAAATTTATAATTTTCTGAAAGTAAATTTAAGAAATTAAGAATCTAGGATTTTAGATACTTGTCAATCTTTAAGAAAATTAATATTACTCTTTTTAATTTGTAAAAAGACTTTGTGAATATACAAAGATATATCATTTTTTCAATTAAAAGATGAATAAAAAATAATTAGTAGTTTCAAGCTTTTTGCGGTGTTAATCAATTATATCCACAAAACACTCGAACATACTATATGTATGCATATATTTTTTCATGGATAAGGGATATATTACATATGTACACCTGAAATGCATTATACGTACAATGTATATCATTAGCATAACTTAGTATTAGATAAACTATATCCATTTTGTATATTCTTTAGACACACATATATATATATTATATATGTATATACATGATATTACTTGCATATTATAAAGCATACACAAAGTGATATATATATAAATGGCATATATACATATGCAAAGCGTGATAATCTAAAAATTCTTAAATATTAGGTGAAGTAAAAAGTTCTGAGCGTTTTCCGCTAGATGTCTTTAGCGAAAAAACGCTCAGAACTTTTTACTTCACCTAATATTTGTCGTTTCAAAAAGATATTCATGAGAAAGTTTCATATATTCGAAAGGTCTTTCTATCTATATAAACAAAAATTCACCTCCGCTTCCCTTGAAGAGGGAAGAGGTTTTTATGAGGGATAACTTAGTAACTTTAAAAGGAAAATCTTCCATAAAATATTATATATTTAGATTCTGCAGGAAAAAGCACGTAAACTTTATCTGAAACATTTCTTTGAAAAATGTTTCTATCAAATGTTATATTTAAACTTTAAAGTAGAATGCATTTAAACTGTGATAAAATCACTAAATAAAAGATTTAATAGTTTCTCTGTTTTTATGTTTTATGAAAAAAATTATTCAGTAAATGTCATTGCACATAATCATATCATAAAATAGATATAACAACTAGTATTAAAACGACAGTTGTCGAGAAACGAAATACAGCCTTTGAAGGTTTGATTTTATATTAATTATAAATAACATTACAAAAGTATTCTTGACCCAGATGTTTATTGTTATAGTTTGGCTATATACAGGAATGGTTTCTTTTATCAAAGGATTAAAATACATAAAATTCAACAGAATCAAACTCTATTTGCTTTGTTAGTGTCGTAAAAACGAAAATATATTTTTGTATATTTTACATTATTTTCAAAAAATTTTGTTTTTGGTAAAAATAATACCGAAGTAAATAAAGTCAATTAATTTCAAACGTAATGAAAGCATACAAATTCATTGAATATATAAAAGAAGTAACTGTAGGATCCAGCGGTTGCCCAGATAAAGGCTTATCTGGACAACATTATTTATTAAAAGTTTGTTGTTGAAGTTGGTTAAAAATAAAAATCTCGTTTCTCTAAATGCTTTTAGATTTTCAAGAAAATATCGAAATGATTTAATTTTTAGGCCATCTGAATAAAGTAGTGACATTAATTTAAGATCCACACTAGATAATACATTGAACAAGTTATGAAAAGTTTATGTCAATTTCATTAACGGTTTTTGAGTTGTAAAGGAACATATAAACTAACAAAGAGGAATTTGAAGCATGATAGGAACTGTAAAGTTAAACTGAAATTCAAGTGTATTAGAAATAAATAAATCAATTTCATATTGCATCAAAACTTTCTTTGACGTGTCTATTAAAAGAAAAAACATAAGTTTTACTGTGAAACATAAGTTTTACTGTGAAAGAACAGTTAAGAAGGGCGAGATTATTATTTCTTTAGAAACATGTTGGTTTCATTATATTTTTTATGCGAGACAAAATGGAGTATTTCGCAAAACTTGTTTTTTTCCCAATTATTAATTTTCAAAAGTTCTTAAAAATAATATATTAAAAAAAATCTGCAATATATAATAATATATTATTGTACGTTTAATTTATTATAATTATCTATTTAAACACAACACACTTTACTTAAAATAATAAAACTTTCTATACTTTTATATTATTAAAATATTAACAATAATTAATATTTGGTATGTTAAAAGTTGATATCAATTTTTCGAAATATAGTATATGAAAAAATATAATGCAACTTAAAATTTTAAGAACATAATCCCGTTCTACCTCGAAATGTATAAGTTCGGATGAGATAAAAAATATAATAAAAGAATGAATAATCATAGATAATTAATATTTACACAAGCATTTAAATGAAAAGAAAAGATTTTTTAATAACGTAAATACATGTACTGTACATAAAAAATGAATAATATTTCATTATTATTTGTCTTATACAAAGGTAACAAACAAATTTCTATCACAGAAAATGCATTAAAGGGATTAGAACAGTTTCATCTTCCGAAAATTGAGTAAAATCGAATGACGATTATTGACGAATAAATAAAGATATACAATGATTGTTTTTTTTTTAGTTTTTATACATACTTTTAGGAATACAATAAGCGGTAGAAGTTAAAAAAATATTAATAATTGAGTGAGATATTGTTAAATTAAAGAAACGTTGTTTTTGCGATTTTGCCACGATTTCGGGAAAACGAGTTGGAATTTTTTAATGTGCTAAGCGTTATTTTGTAAATGAGATTTCTCTCCATAGATTGAACCGGAATGGAACTAAAAATCTAAAAAATTAGAGAAATAGCGGACAAAAAACTAAAAATGTCTAAAAATTCAAGTTATTTATTGTTAAAACGATATTAAAAAATTAATTTTCATGTACAAACTTTGGTTCAATCTATGTAGTATGTCTTTATCTTTAATTAAAAAAAAAGATCAAGTCTGTATCTTCAGTTATCGTTCTTGAGTTATCGTGGCAAAAGAAGCAGAAAATACTGTTTTGAAAAATAAACGACCGACTACTACGATCAACCGATCGACTGTTCTCGTCTCCTTTCTTGTTACTCTTATACTTGTTAGCAGTGACCTCCACGCGCCTATAGTTATTGTTTCCGATATTATTATTTCTAAGTTTACGAACCGTTATTACTGTTTATCAGTTTGTTTTAAATAAAAAATATCTACATTTCTTGCACTACATGATCGCGCGCGCTCCGCCGGCCGCGCGCCGCCTCACATTTTTCGCTCTCCTGAACTCAATTTTATGAATATCGAGGTTCTTTTTGCGCCAAAATGTTTTTAAAGAATTTACTAAACTAGAGGATTACGTAAAAACTCAAAAATCGATTTTTTGAAGATTTCAAACCGTTTTAATCCTTTTAAACGCATGAAACAGTATCTAGTATCTTTCAACAGAACCTATTATAACGACGGATAATAGCCGTAAGAGACATCTAAGAGTAACAAATGCAAAACATTTTGTGTTATATGGTAATATTTCTTTAAAAAATTATAATCTCTTTTAAAATATCAATAATACCTCATTATGTCTCATGACTTTATTATGTCTTACATTTTTTTATATAAAGAAGAAATTAAGAATTTTCTTCTTAAAAAGTCAGTTAAAAATTATGTGATGTCAAAAATAAATGTGTTAGATTAAAATTAATGTCGGGAATATATAAAAGAAATTCTCCACACATTTCTATGTCTTATGTATGTTATTGTTTAATCATGAATTACTAAAACTAATATTTTGTTACAAATATCCTGTTTTATTTTAATGTTCTATTTAATTTTAAATATTTTGTTTTATTCTAAGGAGGACATAGGACATAGGAGAACATATTAATGCAACTATTTCAATGCAAATGTTAATAAATATGTTACGATAATAATGATCTTAATTTGTATTAAAAGTGGTCGAAAATAGATATATGTTTACTTCAAATCTTACTTCAATTCTCATTTCAAATGTAGTTCAATTTATATAAGTTATTTTATAAGCGGGATGGAAAATATAATTTAAAAACACATGAGTATAAGAGAGTTATATCAATTTACATGACCCAGATAAAGTTTAGCAATATGAGCGAAAAAATTGGGTTACACACGGAATAATATTAGTTAACATCAAAGATCTTCTGATTTTATGACGCAATTAAAAAGTAACCTGCAACGTTCGACATAAGATATGAGATCTAACAATACTGTTATAATTTGCGTAATGTATATAATGCATAATATATTGCTTGAAATAGAATAATATTTCTTGAAGAATAATATTAGAATAATACTGTTTGAGGTAGAATAATATTTCTTTAATTTGAATATAATTTTATAGTTATATTAGAAACATGCTATACATACATACATATATATATATATATATATATATATATGTATATATATATATATGTATATATATATATATATATATATATATATGTGTGTGTGTTTGTGTGTGTGTGTGTGTGTGTATTCTCCTTTATATTTTTCTTTTTAAATTTTTTTTCACAAAGAAAGTCTCTGCTTGAGACAATTTTCCAAGTTGCTTCATGATATTGTGAAAGCTACTCCAGAAGTTCTCGAGAGACGCTGAGGTAAGCTTAAAATGACGCCTGATATCCATGTCAAAGAACCTAACTACTTGGAGTACTCGACACGTAAATTAAATAATGACAAGCAACGCTAAACACTTATTAAATTTCCTTTTAATTTTTTAATGTCAAATAATTAAGTGTGTATAAAAGCGAGTTTGAAGCAGCTATAGAATAATTATTCATATTTTCAATGAGATATAAATTAACATAAAATTTCAAGGACAATAATTATTTCTTTATAAATAAGTTATTTTGCAATATCGTTTATGAATATATTTTTGATATTATTTATTTTTACACTCTTGTACTGTTACGATTTAGAAAAGATGCGACGGTTAATATGGAAGGGCAGTTTTTGGTGAGGCAAATTTATGATGACGAAATCACATACAATCTGATATCTGCTGCTGTACATAAACTTAGTACGTATGTCTTTTTTATAATTATAACGAAACCCTTACAGAAAAGTATTTCTAGTAATTAATAAACAAAGTAGTAGTGATTAATGACTTCTCGGTTATTCAGTTTTTTCATTATTTGGCGCGCGCGCGCGTGCGAGAGAGAGAGACAGAGTTGCTATATTATGTATGACATATATATATATGTATGTATGTATATATGTACACACACACACACACACACACACACATACATATATATATATATATATGGTAAATCATACACATATTATATATGACAAATTTATTATTAAATTCAAAGAAATTTATCCATTGAAATAATACAGACAAATTTGATTCTTAATAATAACAAAAAACATTATGATTGATTGTTTAAATAATAAAAATTATTTAACGTTTTATTTTATTTTATTTTTTGCATCATATACACGCCATCTTTTCACGTCATATGTGTGTCTCTTTGTTTCGATACTTTACCGGTTATCTATCATTGTCTGGGATTGTAATCCATATAGCTCGATCTCAGTGATCAATCATGAATTGGTGATGTTACTGAGCTCTGACGATATTTTTGTGGATTATTGTAATGTATTTTTATGTTATTATACAAAAATATTTTATTGGTATACTTGCTTGCAGATATTGGTAACAGCAAACGCTGTGCGACGAATATTGATATTACTTAAAACATTGTTTTGTCAGATAGAATCCTAAATGTTACAATTTATCGCTGTTTTTGCATCTATTAGAGAATTACCTGTGGTATAGAATTTATAATAGCAGCATTCGAACAATATCTGCAAGTATATTTAAATGGATATAAAGATTCGTTTGTCTCTCGTCGTTAGTTTTTCTTGTCTACAACAGTAAATTTTTGTAAGAAATGTGATTGTTTTTAATTTGAATGGAGAGAGATATTCTTGATATTCTCTAAATTTTACAAGTAGTTCATATATAAATTCTGTCTCTGACATCTATATTGGTTAAATAGAAAATATATATGATATCGTAGTATTTGCTAATTATTATATATTCATCTTAACTAATTTTTTGTATCTAGATAATTTTTGCTATCACTGCAAGAGTATTTTTTAAATAATAATATTTTTAATAAAACAGTGACGCTATAATTGTTTCTGAATTTTTAACGAAATATTATAATGAGTAAATTAGAACAAATAATAGATTTGGAAAGTGTGGAAAATATAAGGTATGAAACAATTCATACTACTTATGGAAAAATTTATGCTTATCTTTCTCGTTATTGGGGAATAAGTCATATTAGTAGTTCATGACGAGAACTATGTACTAAATCAATGATTATATCACTGTTGTTATAATTATTGAATTATTGGAATAATGATAACTCTATAATTTGAGTATTCCAAATCTTACTTTGTTGTTATAATTATTGAATTATTGGAATAATGATAACTCTATAATTTGAGTATTCCAAATCTTACTTTGTTGTTATAATTATTGAATTATTGGAATAATGATAACTCTATAATTTGAGTATTCCAAATCTTATTTTGCTTAAAAAGTCTGATATGGATTGATAACAATGCATACGAATCTTATTAAAATACTATATGATTTTATCTAAACTTATTATTTCTGGACGCACACACACATTTCAATGTCTCTCATATAACAAAATTATACATTTCTTTTGTTTTATATCATATTTTTCAAACTTACTTTTAACAATTAAATATTAATACGATTGAATATTTAAATATAATGAATATCTGAATATATACATATCTTTTATAATATAATTTTATTATTTTAATTTAAAATAATATCTTTAATATAGTTAGTTTTATATATAGTTTTCTTATATATAGTTTTCTTATTTAATTATCCCACAGCACATGATATCCTATAGATATTTGTTTTATGTCTATTTCACGTCGGTATATCCATGGACCTTATAAAACATACATAAGATATACATGAATGGACATTTGTGGAATATTTGAAAATGGGCACGTTTAGATCAGTAGAATATTCCAAAATGGATAAAACTAGAAAAGAAAACTAAAAGAGAAAACTAGAGTACGGGTACTAGTACAAGGAATGTAGTCAAATAGACTTTTTATCTCACTAATAGTGCATTCGACCGACCTGGATTAGCTCAACCTGTGCGAGTTAGATTATTTAACATACATCTACATCTATTAAGCTCTGTGGCAGACTAGCACAGTTAATGGTCATGTTCAGCGGAGAAAATTGCTTCGCTACCTCTCTGTAGCGGACGTTTATGATTGGAGTATTCTTTTAAGTATTTTTTGCTCTGTTTAAGAGATATACTTCTAAATTACTCATCTGTATTTCCTTAAATATATCTTTATACTGCATTTAAATATTCATACAATATTACAATATGCAAAATATATAAGATAGAGATACAGACCCACACAGCAAAAGAGATCTGTGAGATCTCTTCAAAACATTTTGTTAGGATATTGCAATGTCTCAGAGATATCTGATAGATATTTAGATATTCGAGGGATATTAGATATCTAGATATTACCAGGATATACTAATGCCCGCATTTAAGAAAACGCCAAGATATTGCAAAATGTCATGAAATATAATTTTACGTTATTTTTTAAATATTTGTGATTATTGACGGTTATAATAAAACTAAGAATGTATGTCGCATGGATATTATAAGATATATTGGAGATAATTATAATAGGTAATCGGGATTTATGTAGGAAAACATTTACAGTGATAATACACAAAAGAAATTATACAAATACAATTACATAAAAGAAATATATATTGTAGGAAGTACAAATACATCCGACTCGACTAGGAATACTGGCTTTAGAAGCTCTCACGTGCGCGTGCAATCACGACAGGGTTATGTGACTCAGACTGCGTTCTGAAATTTTATTTATCACTAGTATTACTAGTACTGAAATTGTATTGTGATATAAACAATAAATTTTCAATACTGGCAGTCAATTTTTAAATATAGCATCAATTAGCTATCCTCTTTCAAAATTGTATCCTAATTTTTCATCATGTAATGCTTCACCACGTTTTCCTACATGTGGTCAACAGTATAATCTATTCTTTATTAGTATGTATACTGATTATATTCTAAAAATATTGAGATATATTTCATATATCCGTGATGATCACAATATATCTCTCTCAGTATATCTTTGCAGATTTCTTTTGCTGTATATATGATATCTCTACGTTCTCGCAAATGCGGATATTAGTATATCCTATTCCTAATCAGTATATATATTGACAATTGTAAGGATATTGAAATATATTTCGTATATCCGCGATAATTTCAGTATATCCTACAGATTTTTTTTTCTGTGTGGGGATACACTCGCAGTGCAATCAAATTGTTACAATTGTACTTTAGTACAATATAATGTGATACACACTTAAATATATAAATATGTATTCTGTTAACATGTATTTATATTTTTTATCCTTTATATGTTAATTAAAATTCTCAGTATAATTCCAGACAGCACAGACTTTCCAAAGAACATCTTAAGGACATCCTGGAGACGTTCTAAGGACATAAAGATGTCCTCAGAACATCTACAAGACGTTTCTTAGATGTGTGTGCTGTCTGGGATTCTATAATGTCCATTTGATGTCCATCGGATATCCTCTAGATCAAGGATAACAGCACGTTTACTAATTTCATAAATGGATATGTCACAATGGATGTTCATAATATCTCTGAAGGATATAAAACAAATATTATACGGATATCCTTAATATCCTTGAAGGATATTTATAGGACGTTTTTTTTTGGATATTCATGTGCTGTTCATGGGTATATTAAATTTTTAAGCAAGATAGTTACTAGTAATAAAACTGAGCAATAATGATTTATTTCTGACTTATCAGTAATACTTTTCTGTAAGCAAACATGATATTTGCAACAGAAAAATTTATATGACATATTTCGTGCTGCAGATATCCCCGCTAATGAAATACTTGAGTTATTCGGAAAAATGTTCTTTGAGTTTTGCCAAGACTCCGGTTATGATAAGATTTTACAAGTTCTTGGAGCAACACCTAGGGATTTTCTACAGGTAAGTCTTGGACAAATCCTATCTGTCACGATTTTCTCTTAAATCAGAGACGATCCGATGCGTTTGGTCGTATGAGTTTATATTAATATGAAAAGTGGCACTGACAATTTGCATTTTTAACTTAATCGCTAAGTGATGTTGCTTTAAAATCGCATTAAAGGCAATCTTAATAGCTATCGAGTGGCTCGTATTCCGCATCTGATGTTGATCGAACTTAACGCAAACCGTTTGTTAAATCAATCAATCCGTCGTTAATATCTATCAATTCCGGCAAGATCACATTTCTTATCGAATCTTTTTCTCAATTTCTTACTTATTTTTAATTAATTGTACGATTCGATAGTTATTTGCCATCCATTTAGCGATTTACTGCTCACATAATAGAAAGAAAACAGACAACTCAAACTTAGTCGTATGAGTCGTACAGCAATGACATTAAAATTAATTGAAGAGACAATATACATTTTTAATTCATTCTCGATATTGAAATCGCAACATGTGTGCACGTACATTACTGCATTACGTTGCAGAATTTGGACGCGCTTCACGATCATTTGGGTACTCTATATCCGGGCATGAAGGCACCGTCATTCAGATGCACGGAGAGACCCCAGGATGGCGCGCTTGTTTTGCATTATTATTCAGATCGGCCTGGTCTAGAGCATATCGTTATTGGAATCGTGAAGGTAGCTCGATGAAATTACCATTATAAGTCTCGCAAGGAAGTGTAGCAACGATTTCATCAATGAGCGTTGCGAGTTGTTTGATTGTTGAGAAGAAATAATGGAAGGAACTCTCATTTACTTTTTTAAAACAGACTGTCGCCAAGAAACTACACGGCACGGATGTTGACATGCAAATAGTGAAGACCAAAAGTGAATGCGATCATGTGCAATTTCTCATAACTGACACATCGGGTCCGGGAGTCGTATCGAATCCTATGATCGCTGAGCTGGAAACATTGTCCGTTGGTGAGTAATGTATTAATAGGAAGAACCGATATAGATAGTGTATTTGACTGTAAAGCCGCACATAATTGGTAAAATATAGTTGTAAATATTACTCGGAATATCTAAAGATTGAAAAAAATGGTTTATCTCATTAAAATCATAGGCATTTCTAACGCCATATATATTCTTGTTGTTCTAAAACTAAAAAGTATATAGTAGTAGTAGTATATATAGTATACATATAATATTATATTATTACTAATACTATAATAATATTTAGAATAATAGAATCAATTATGGAATATCATTTTTCAAATCAACATTTTTCCAATATAAATGCATATTCCAACTTTCAAATGGCATAGAAACATTGAGAGATGTATTACCTCTATAAAGTTTAATAAAAAAATATCCAAAATTTAATTGCAATAGTAATTGACATGCAAATAAATGTAACGTCTGTTAAAACAATCTACACTGAGAAAAAAAGCGGTTGGATTGACAAAATCGGCAGTTAACGGCCATTAAGAAATATTGGATCTATTCAACAAAATACATGTTAATGCAATAAGTTGCATTGAAATCTACTATATCAACGCAATTAGTTTAGGTGTATTTTTTAATCTCCGTAAAAATAGTTTTTAACTCGTTTAATAAAACTTATCCAAAATATATTTTGTTATATTTAGAGAACGTGTGTTGAATACAAATATTACTGAACTTATTTTAAGCAAGTTAGAACAACTCGATTGTCGTTTAATCTTGTCCAACGTTTAATCTTCCGACTAAACGAGAATAGAAAATTATTTGTATCTTTATATACGATTTTCGCCTGGCGTTTAACGTTACATATGATAAAGTTTATAACAAATGCTTCTAGCTGTTGCAATAAGAGCGCATCGCTTTAATAGGAGCTTAAAATATGACTTTTTATTTCATATTACCTGCATATTTTTTAATCAGTTTCTTTATTATTACAAAAAATGGTTTCCTCTATAATAATTCTTTCAGTACGCAATTATAGTTACTATGATGAAACATTTTTTCTCAGTGTTAAGAAAACGTATATATGCATTATAGAGTTAAAAATAATAAATATCTAATGAATTGTTGTAGAACCAAGGGTCAGTCCAACGACATTTTGTCGAGTATTTCCGTTTCATCTAATGTTCAATCGCGATCTCACGATAGTTCAAACCGGATGTACCATCACACGCGTCATACCGCGCGTCTCCAGTGGTCACTGCAAGCTAAGTGACATTCTCTTAACCGTAAGTTGACCCGCACGAAATCGTGACACTTTCGTTGTGAGTTCTCTTCTTCTTTTCTTGCTTCATGTCTACGCCCGTCGTAAATTTATAATTTCGCACTTTATTGTAAATTTATTCTATAAATTTTATATTGTAATAATTTCATATTAAATTTATGTTACTAGTATTAATACGTTTATTTTTCGAGTTAAGTATTTTGTAAACCTAGTGGAAAGTAGGGCACTGTATTTTTCTTGCAATTATTGTTACAATTAAAACAATCTATACAAACATCCTATTTAAAAGATAGATATATCCTATCTAATGTAAAAGATTTTACAGAAAAAAAAATTATATAAGAAATTATATAAAAAAATATATAAGAAAAATTCATGTAATTAAATTTTATTTTTGATAAGAATGATAAAATTACATAGAAAGGCATGTATATATTCGGATAAATATTTAATCGTTTAATATAATATTTAATTGTTAAAAGTTAGTTTACGATATAAAACAAAAGAAATTTATAACTTTATTATATAAGCTGAAATATGAAATATTAAATTTCTTATAGAAATGATAAGCTCATGCAAAATCGTATATTTTAATGAAATTTGAATATATTTTCATCATTTTTATCGATTATTTTTTGAGGAGATAATGAACGAAAGAATTTCCGCTGACATTTTTTAATTAAAAGTGCATATTTATATGTTCATCATTGAATATTATTCGCATTGATATCGATTACTAATTTTCAATAACATTAGACCAATTATTTCTAGTCAACGGAATTAGTGGAGAGCGCATTGCGTCTGTCGATGGTTCCATACGCATGAATTCATATCAAATGCAAATTATTGTAATTAATATAGAAGCGTTTCCTAAACCACTTAACACCATTTACATTATTGGTTGTACGTATTTGATATAATGTTGTTAATTAGCTTTTATTATAATATCTCTTATCTTGACACCAGTGTTTGCCGTGGATAATTTAAAATTCACCTGGATGAAAATCAAATGAAAATCTATCTTAATTTATCTTAGCTGAGACAAAGATAATTTTGTCTTCAATTCATCTAGATTATTAGCGTAATTTATCTGGATAATTTTGTTTTCTAAAATTATTCACACATAAAAAACTACACAAAAAATGATGTAGATTATAAATAAGATATTAAAACTGTACTTATAATTTTATTTTAAGTTTTTATTTCTCAAAAATAAAAGTTTTTCTAATGTTTTGTCTGATAAGCAGTTTAATGTTTTGTCTCATAAACTTCTTACCAGCTCTTACTAAAAAGCAGTATATTGATTAGTCACCGCGTCGTGTCTTGTCGCGCGAAAAACGGAAAATTGGTTTCGCGTCTTGTGTACAGAAACCATAACTAGCACTTCAACTAGTCGAAATCTAGTTATTGCTGTTTATAATTAGATTTACCATTAATTTTATCTTCCATTTTCTTCATTCGCAAATAAACGATCGAAATA